ATATTTATTATATTTAATAAAAAAAAAACCTGAAATGTTAGAACTATACACACAGTCAAATGTTAATATTATTATTTTTTTTTTTTCTGGATTCAAGGCTGCACTTAAAAAAAAAAAAGAAATTGTCTAGAAAGCTGTTCTTAACAACATTTCTTTTTGTTTTACACTTGTGTTAACGGAATGACAAAATAAATCTGTCTAAAATGATATGCTGGTTGGTATGATGGCTTCATTTTCGTTACTTTTCAACTTTATTCTCATAATATTAGGACTTTATTCTTGAGAAAAAAAAATCTCTAGCCTGGCCGTAATACTCTGTTATTTGTATTTGGGCTCTAATCATAATGGCAAACAGAAAAAAGCACGTCTCTCATTCAGAATAAAATTTATTTCCAATTTCAGATTCAGGTTTATTGTACAATATTTCAAACTATGGCAGAAAACCTTAGAAAGTGAGCAGTGAGCTTTAGAACTCGCTCTTTTGCCTCTTTAAATGCAAACTTTGACTGAACTCCCGTTCAGCTGAGGATGAACCTATTGTAAAAAAAAAACTGCTTTGTTTGTCTAATTAGCTGCAATTAGCAAGCTTCTCTCAAACACGCGCGCATGCGCAGGCCCATCGGTTGCCATGGACACGGAGCGCCTATCTCTAACCGTTCATTTCTAACTTGGACCTTGACGCTTGAACTTGCTGCAGTCTGTGGTTTGCTAACCTGCTAAAGATGAGCAACGCACCAGAGGAGAACAACTTGTCGGGACATCACCTGGAAGGTTTATGTCACTCTTTTGCTATGTTAATGAAAAAAATGTTAGGTGAAAAATGATTAATTTGATGTTTTTTTCATGGAGTTGGCTACATGCTAAGCTAGCTGCTAAGCTAGCTTAGCATGTAGCATCTTTGACATCTCAGAGATTAAATGTTTGTAGTCGACTGAATTCGTTGGGAATGTTAACAGCGATTTAATGATTTGAAAATAACTCTTATTTCTGTTTGAGAGAAACACCTTTGTTGAATTAGATGTGAAATGTTTGAAAACTAGATGGCGCTAGCTCTATGATTTTTAAAAAATGCATTTTGCTATATATGGATATGTTGGTAAAATTACATTCAATAAATATTCAAATATATTTGAAGGACATCTAACATAATATATTATCAAGCCAAACTGTTTCTTTTTTTCCATTTAATAAAAAAGTTATCATTTTTAGTATTTTGGAAGTCGACTGAATTTAAAGCTGATAAACAACTGGAAAAAAGAAGAGATGAAGATTCTCAAGTTGTTTAGTTTAGGAAATAATTTTTTTATCAGTGTTTTTAAAAAGGTTTTTAAGGGGTAATATGTATTAAATAGATGTTTTATTGCTTGGAAATAGGAGGAATGATAACAGATGAAATGATATAAAACAAAAACACATTTTGGTTTAGGAAGATAATTTTTGATTAAGTTCATGTGGAAATGGTTAAAAAAAATACAAAATAAATTGTTTTAGGATAAACTAAATATTGTTAAATACATTGGTACTTGAAAGGGTAGCTTTTTAAAAGATGCTGTGGTAAACATATTGGTCTCCATGGATACATACAATAAACAACTTTAAGGCTTTTTTAAGGTAGCATATATTTTTTTAATTTAATGGAAGGCCAAAGGTGATAAAAATGTTTTTTATTTTAAAGTTTCTGGTTTCAAAGGGTCATTTTGGTGAATTTGGTTTCCAATCCTTTAAAAACAAGGTGGCGTCTGGCCCCTTCTGTCAGAGAACAAGTATGGTCTCTATCGATACAACAATAAACAACTATAAGGCTTAAAATTATTGTAAAATAAAAATGAGATAATTTACATTTTTGGGCTGTAACATGTTTAGAAGTTGAGTAAGTTTATTATAAGTGCTGCCATTGCTAACCGTGTGAGGAAAAAATAGAGAATAAATGTTTAATCAAGAGTTTAGAAAGGAGGATGATATGTTTATGTTTACAGGGAGAAGGTAGAATTAAAACATCAATTTAGAACAATTTATTATTTTAACATATTTCTGAGCTAATTCTTATTTTTTTATTAATACAATTTGTTCATTGAGGACTCATTTTCTAGATCTTCAAAACATTCAACACTGGAGGGTTTCGCCTAAACCATTAAAAGTTCTGTATAGGACCCTTTCTTAGAGGTTTTAGAAAAAGAACAAAATTCTTCTAAATAGTTTGCTAATTTCCATTTCTGCTCTGGGCTTTCTATGTGTTAATAAAAGTCTTTATTTCTACTCTAGGATGCATTGAGGAAGGGGTCTGATAAGCTGAGGTTCTGATTCTGAGAAATTATAGATCTGAAATTTAAAGCCTGATGTTTTTAAGCCTTTATTTCTGTTAATCAGGACAATTTTCTGCTTATAGTTAATTAACCTCAAAGATTCATGATTATATTACCAAATCACTCAGTCAAAATGTTTTTTTTATTCTGATAAAGAATAAAAAAAGGTTTGTTTGCAGTTTAAAACGTCCTTTAATCTGAACTAATCCGAATGAATAGTCTGGGTCAGCAGCTCCCAAAGGGGGACGCGTGCCCCCTAGTGGGAGTTTAGTGTAATTGTAGGGAGCGTAATCGAAATAAAATAAATGGACCATTTAGAGAGAATTTATTTATTGTTAACATCCTGAAATAAAAATCTAAACCCCATTAACCAGTAAAACAAAGATTTGAATTTAAAATAAATTAACAATTAAATGTTGGTCTTGTGATTTAAAGGATATTGTAGTTTTTTGTTCTTAAATTAGCCGTCAGCAAAAATAGCTGGTGAGGACGAGCAAAATGTCCTCCCTTTACAACGATCACTCCTCATTGTGACGGTGAAATCAGAAAAATGCTCCTCCCACTGACGCTGAGGATCATATACACAGATATATAGATATATATAAATACTTGTGTGTATTTTTGTATGTATGTGTTTTTTTAGAACGATTTCACTAGCATTGATTAGATGTTTTTTTTATTAGTTTTAGCTCACAGATTGATGTTCTTTTGTAATAAAGCTACTTAAACCTGACTAACTCACACAGGCACAGCCAGCAACCTAAAATAAAGCATTGAGTTTTGTTATTTAATGTTCCTTAATTAATGTTCCTGGTCTAATGATTTTTTTCCTCTTTGCTCCAGACGCCCCGCTTCCATCTGATCCTCCCCTGGAGCTCTGCATCCTGATGACGGATCAGGTTGATTTCCCTTTTCTTATCAGGATAGAACTGTCCTCCAATGACTATGAGGAAGATTTTACCGCGGATGGTGCAGAGATTGTACCTGGGTTTTCGGTGTATGACAGGATAGGGGATTATCATGAGGTTGGTTGGCCTTTTAATGGTGAGTCTCTTGATGGGTCTAGTGAAGGCTCCATGTATGGTCTCTGCGATAGCTCTGAGACAGAAGATGACGAAGACGATGAAGACGACGAAGACGATGACGATGAAAACGACGATGACCACCTTCCACCACAGGGCGAAGAAGACCACCAACCTCCAGGGACCAGCTCTGTCTCCAGGAGGAGGACAAGAGAGGAAGACGAAGATGAAGAGGAGCCCCCTGCGAAGATGTTTGGTCGTGGGAGGGAATAGGAATTTCATCAAGAACCTTCCTTTAACTCCTTCAGCAGCTTCTCACAATGAAGAGAAGCTGAAGCTTAAGCAGAAGAACCAAACATTTTACCATCTTGCTTTGGATCATCTTGCAGGAGTTAGATGTATATTCTTGGTGATTTGATGTTGATTGGAGGTGGAAAGGGTGAAAGATCACATGTAGATATTATTTATTGATTGGTTTTATATCTGGCAGGTCTAGGGACGCCTCAGGTAGCGTCTTGCACCGTGGCTTTTCTTTACCCCGCTGCTAGATTTTATTTTAAGTTTTAGATCTTAAGAATTTTCCTTAAGCACAGACATCAGAGCAGAGACTGGAGACGTGCTACAATTTATAAAAGCTGTGAAACATGAGAGCTGGTTAAAGCAGAAATAATCTAACATGCTCTACGTCTAATGACAGAGCTGGACCATCTCCTAGGTAACAGAAGGCAAACCAAACAATCCAAGGGTTGATTTAAGAACGAGGTTTTACAAGAACTAAAACAGAATGGAGGCAAATGGAAAACATAAAGAAAAGGACAAAAACATAAATCCTGGTTGAAAACAGACGAAGCACAAGGAGGCAAATCAAACTGAGGCAACAGCTGGACATCGCTGCTGGGGACACATCAAAACCTCTAAGGAGTGAGACATCGCTGCTGGGGACACATCAAAACCTCTAAGGAGTGAGACATCGCTGCTGGGGACACATCAAAACCTCTAAGGAGTGAGACATCGCTGCTGGGGACACATCAAAACCTCTAAGGAGTGAGACATCGCTGCTGGGGACACATCAAAACCTCTAAGGAGTGAGACATCGCTGCTGAGGACACATCAAAACCTCTAAGGAGTGAGACGTCGCTGCTGGGGACACATCAAAACCTCTAAGGAGTGAGACATCGCTGCTGAGGACACATCAAAACCTCTAAGGAGTGAGACATCGCTGCTGGGGACACATCAAAACCTCTAAGGAGTGAGACATCGCTGCTGAGGACAAAAACACAGGAAGTCAAACTAAGAATCTAAAGGTCTAAAAGTGGAGATGAGGAAAACTTAATGCTGCTGGAGACCAACTGGATCTAGAATAGAACAGTGACACAGCTTGTTAAGGTCATCAGTTGAACTGTTCTCTGGGATGATGGTGAGAAGGTAAAGACGATGCTTGGAGGGACTAGTTGATTTCAGAGCAGTTTGAGGCAGAGGACAGGACTGATGTAAGGATGTGGGTTGTGAGTGACGCCGATTGTTAGAACCCGCTTTCAGCTGTGAGTTGATCTAGTTCTAGATGTTCCTCTGGTCAGTTGGTGAAAGAACCCTCTGCAGACATACTCTCCATATGATCTAGGCCAGTTCTGACCACAGTGGATCTCTTCTGTGTTTTCTGAATCCCATGTCGGACCGAGCCGCTACAAGCTTTGGGCTGTCAGAAGATGCTGATGAGATCTACGGCGACCAAACCAGAGGAGCAGTAAACAGTGAGAGCATGTTCAGTAAGGAGCAACAATGATCCATCATTTAAATATAAAGTCAACATTTCAGGTGGCCTCACTTAGTTTTTCATTTATCTTCAGACTCTGTGGACGTCCAAAAGCAGAACTCCTGTGAGGAACCGGGACCTCCAGGATGCTGAGGAGCCTCCCAGTCCCCACCTGAGGACGGCACAGAGGAAAACACCTGGAGTAAGCCTTTATTAACACGACAACAGAAAACTTAACTTTTAAATTTGTGTCGAGGAAATTCTGTAGATTAATTTAGCCTCTTTTTTTTTTTTTACAGGGAAAGCAGGTTGAATATGGAAGCAACGTTCTAACAGTCGGATCTCCATGGAACAGACTCCATCCACACGTGTTTGAAGGTATGTTGGCTGTTAGACTAGAGAGGAATCACATGCAGACAGTTTCAGACTCTGAGGACGCTTTGCTTTCATTGATGAAGGAGCTCAAGCAGAGGATGGAGAACACAGACCACCAAGGAGGAGAAACATGGCTCCTCTGCTCGTCTCTCCAACATTCTGGAGTCCTGGAATGAAAAACGTCGACGACCCCGCAGCTAAACCATCAGTCTGCTCCACCCAGAAAGAAGGTAAAGAACCTTTATTGCTTCCAGCTGTTCATCAGTATTGGTGATGACAATAAAAACAGATCCAGAACAAATAGATTCAAAAGCCACAACCATCCCATCAAGGTGGTCTAACCTTTAATCCTTATCTTTCCATCATGAATGGATGTTCATCTAAATTTTCATCTCTTTTACCAAAACTTTACCAGAACCAGAAGTTCTGACTTTTCCATTAGACCACAGATAAACAGTTCAGAAGCAGCTTCTGATCCAATATGGGAGAATTTCCCCCTGGTTGATCTCTGAAGGGTTTTTAGAACTTATTAAAGCAGAGAAACGACCCTGATGAAACCGACTGTAGACTCCAACAAATGCAGCATTTTCAGGCATTTTCTCCAAGCATCCATTGTCTACAGTTATCACTGCTGTTAGCTTTAGCTTCTCCCTGTGTGTTTTCCTCTTCTCTTGGTTAAAGTTCCACCTCTCTCAGTGTTTCTGTGTTAAATGTCACAGACCAGCGTGTTCTCTCACTAACTCCTGTTCTTCTTTTCCAGAGATGGTCAGCTGCTCCTTGGACCGGCTCCTCTGTGTCTGTTGGACGTCTGCTGTCCTGTTAAAGACTCGCTCGGCTGCAGTAGATGGGCGCTGACATGGAGCCGGGTTCTGCTGGAGGATCCTTCCTGCTTAAAGCTAGTTTTCCTCTCTACTGTCACCACTTCATTGCTCAGGAGGAGGGACTGAAGGAAGATTGGCTGAGCTTCCCTGGATTGAATATGTTTCGCCATAATACACTGAATTTGTCTTCATTATGCTGTAAATAGGATCTAACTTGATGTTTATTGTTGAATTTCATTCTGTGTTTGTGTTGAATTCTGTTACATGTTTCTGTTTTAAAGCTCTCATGTAAATTGCCTTGATATCATATTAGCTGTGACTTGTTTTTATTTTTAAAATTGAATTATATCAAATTCTGCCTACTGGTTCTGGTTCTGTTGAAGGATTCCTGTCATTCTATCTTCACATGTTATTTATTATTACTATAATAAAGGTTTGATTTTTGTAAATTTTTCTTGAATAAGTGGTTTTAAATTGGTTCTTTATAAATAAACAAACTGAAGTAAACTTGAGCAAGAGTTTTAATATTACTATAGTGCAGCTCTTTATCCAATCCACTTTATTTATATAGCATGGTTTAAATAAACACAAGGTTTCCAAAGTGCTGCACAAAAAGATAAAATAAAGAAAATAAAATAAAAGCACTGCCCGCACAGGATAAAAATATGCATGTGTATACATAAAATCAACATGTGTACATAAAATCAACACTCTACATGGTGTTAAAAGCCAAAGAAAAGAGGTGGGTTTTAAGAAGAGTTTTAAAATGAGACAGAGAGGTGGCCTGTCTAATGTGCAGAGGCAATGCATTCCAAAGTTTTGGAGCTGCAACAGAAAACGCTCGATCCCCCTCTGAGCTTAAGCCTTTAGCATATTTGTGGTTATTATTGTTTCTCATGTAAACAGAACAATTGTTCTGGTCATCTTGCAGCGTCTGAACAAATTAGGTCTATAAAGTTTGTGGTTGTTTTTCATCAGTGGCAGTTCCAGAAAATGTTGTTAGAGGCGGCCAGTTAGCTCTATAAAAAGGACAGGAAAGCATAAAACAACTCAAGTTAGTGGAGCCAAAATCAAACTCTAATTGCACTCTGTAACAAACCATACTAAACAGGTTGGGGGTCGTTGTTCATCAGTGGCCGTTCCAGAAAAAATGTATAGGTTTGCACAGAGGGGAGGATGAAAATTAATAGATGTCAAAAACATTCTAAAGTAAATCTCTGCTGATCACAATAAACAAGAACATGAATTCAAAAATCTTTCTTTTCCAAATAAATCACTAAAAACAGACCGGATTTCCATGAGGTCCTTGGGAATGAAGCTCCGCTCATATTAATACATTAGTGGAAGTTAAATAAAAATGTTTTCTAAATAATCACTTGACCTGATCTAACTTCTGTGTCATTCAATTTTTTTTAACTTTAAATTGCATTAAAAATCCTTCCCTTGTTGGTTTATGTTAGAGTTTGCAATTAGGTTTTAAACTTCTTTGATTTTTTTAGTTGATAATGGGAATTAATTTGAATCCTTCTTTTATGTCTCTTGTAAAAGAAATGCTGTGTTAGCCTTAGTTCTAAAATGCTCTCTTGGTTTTTCCTTTGAATCCAGGAGCAGTGAAGTACCTTGAAAGCTCAGTCAGTCAAATAAAAAGTCTCAGCTTTTTGTCTTGGAGTTTATGTAGTAATGCTGAGTGGCCAGTAGATGGCAGCATTCTTTTTTTTTTTTTTTTTTTTTTTTTTTTTTTTTTTCCGGCGCCAGCACCCCCACCCCGACCCCGGCCCCCGAACGACTCCCCCCAACACCGGTCCCACAGCACCAATCCGAAGAAGAAGAAAGCCACACAACACAGCTAAGCGCAAATCCCGAGCCCCACTCCAAGCCCCGATCCCCCCGCCCACACACCCCCTCCCACACAAAAAACAAACAAAAACAAAAACAAAAAAATTATAATATTCTCCCCCTCACCGGAGAAGAACGGCCGCAAACAAGCCAGTGCCCAACACCCACCGCCACACCACGAGGACCCCTCCACCCAGATGCTCCTCCCCAGAAAAGTCAACATGCCTGCCCTCCCAGGAGACAGGCAAGCCCGCCGAACAGGAATCCCCCCGGCAGCGCACCGCCGGCATGCGGGGGCCCGAGCAGCCCCAACAGAAACAACACCGGAAGGCCGACAAGGACGAACCGACGGCACCAACCAAGCCCCCAGGCGGACTCCCCCACCCAAAAACACAACGAAACCACCCCGCCCCCACCGACCACAGCAAACACAGCCGCAAGGCAAAGCAAAGGACAGAGCAGCCCCACCCGGCGCACGCCAGAGAGCCAGAGCAGCAAGGCCGCCCCAGCCGCCAGAAGCCGGCACAAGCAGCAAAAAGAAAGCAGCAGACGCGACCCCACCACCCCCGCCGCGCCCGGCGCGAAAGCAGCACGACCCACCCCGCTCCGGCCCCGCACCGCCCACAGGTCGCCGAGAGGAGGACGGCCACGGCCCGTCCCCCCCCCCGCCGCCAAACACCGAGCAACCCTCCACTCCCAAGCCGCGCACGATGCACCGCACCACGCGTCACCGGCACCCGCCCCAACAGAGCGAAGCCACACCCCGACCCGGGGGCACTCCAAAGGGACCCCCGACGCCCGCAACCCGCCCACAACAGACACACACGAACCCCGGCCACAGGCGCGACCACCCACGCCCCCCCCGGACGACGCAACCACGGCAAGCACCACGGCCAACCACCGAAACCCGGCACCGGAAGACGAGGCACGCCCCGACGCCCCGCAGAGCAGAAGCACCCCGGCCAGCACCACAAAAGAACCGATGCCCGGCGCCCAGCCCCACCCAGCAGCAGCACAGCCACCAGGCCAGTAGCCCACGTCCGCCACCACGGAACCCCCCAAGAGCACCGCACGCGGCCGCCGCAGGACCCCCCCCGCGGCGCCCCAGACCCCGCCCCGACGGGGGCAACAGTCCCCCGGGCCAGACCCGCCAGGCACCCCGCTCCGAGCACCCCCCCGAGCCCCCAGGACCCAAGGACCCCCGAACTAGCCCCCGCGCCCCACAAGACGCACCCCATAGCCCCCCACTACACTAAGTGATGGAGCCGATCAAGGGAGCCCAGAGAGATCGGTCTGATGGGGATGCAGATGCTGTCTCAAGATTAATATGATCCAACAACAGATCTCTGTACTGATTGATGTTGAGTTTATCCTTACTCTTCCAATTCATGAGGATAGTTTTCTTTGCGATACATAATGCAGTGAATGCCAAGCAAACCGATTTTTTTCCCATAGAGCTTCCCTCAAAGTCACCCAGCAAGCAAACTGAAGGGGAAATTAGGATTTTACAACCCAGGCACAGTGATAGATCCTTACATACCTGTACCCAGAATCTCTGAACCGGCGTGCATAACCATAGCGCGTGAAAATAATTATCAAGTCGATTGCCTGTGCACTGTGGACAGATGTTAGATTGCGCAAAACCCATCTTGAATAATCTTTGACCTGTATAGTGCACTCTGTGGAGGATTTTGTATTGTATTAATTGTAAATTGGGGTTTCTGGTCATGTTAAAAGTTCTTAGACATATCTGAGCCCAGATGTTTTGTTCAAAGCTGACTGATAAATCCTCCTCCCATTTAGTAATAGGAAGAGATATTGTATCATCCAGTTTAGTCAGTGTCCTGTATAACTTAGACAGTAGTTTGGGGGGGGTTAACTCTAGAAACTCTGATATTTTAGTTGGAATTATTAAACCTCCATCAATATGCTTAAATTTATTTCTAATTATAGCTTTGATTTGCTCATATTCTAAGAATTTATTTTTGTTAATGCCATATTGCAAATTTAATCTAGCGAATGTGATAAACTCCGTACCTTCAAACAAATGATCCAGATATGTAATACCTTTATTCTTCCAGTACGGAAAGTTTATCACATTATTGTTTTGTAGAATGTCAGGGTTATTCCAGATGGGTGTACGACTGCACGGGATAAGTGATGAGTTCGTTATTTTTAGAAATTCCCACCATGCTGTCAGGGAAGAGCTGATGTTAATATTTTTGAAACATGGGTGCCGTTTGATCTTAGAGCTAATAAACGGCAAATCTGAGATTATTATATTACTGCATATATCCTGTTCTGTGTCTATCCAGGGCTCATCTAAGGGATTATGTTTTATCCATTTAGAGATGTATTGTAATCTATTTGCTAAATAGTAGTATTGGAAGTTAGGTAAATCTAGTCCCCCTCTGTCTTTAGTTTTCTGTAGTGTTTTTAAGCTGATACGAGGGGGTTTGTCCTTCCAAAGAAATTTAGAGATGGAAGAATCTAGAGATTTAAACCATTCGGTTGATGGTTTATTTGGGATCATTGAAAATAGGTAGTTAATTCTGGGTAAGACCATCATTTTAATTGAGGCTACCCGACCCAAAAGGGAGATCGGAAGCGATTTCCATCTTTCTAGGTCCTCTTCTATTTTCATTAAAAGAGGGGTGTGGTTGAGTTTTGGTAACTCAGCTAGTTTAGATGACACAGTAATTCCCAAATATTTGATATTTCCTGATTGCAATTGTAGACCTGAGGGATTCTGTAGAGAGCAATTAATTGGTAGTATTACAGATTTAGACCAATTTATAGAGTATTCTGAGACTTTTGAGAAAGATTCTAGTAAACTAATCACTTGAGAGAGGCAAGTGTTTGAGTGCTGGAGATAAAGTAATACATCATCTGCGTAAAGACTAATTTTATGCTCCATTTTCATGCCTTTTATACCTTTAATCATATTTGTTTGTCTGATTGTAGCAGCCAGAGGCTCAATAAAAATAGCAAAAAGTGAGGGGGAGAGTGGGCATCCCTGTCTGGTGCCCCTCTGGAGACAAAAACTGGAAGATGTTTGATTGTTTGTCCTGACACAGGCTGTTGGGAAGCTGTATAATATTTTTAACCAATTTATAAAGGAATTGCCAAAGCCAAATTTATGTAGAGTAGCAAATAAAAATTTCCAGTTTACTCTATCGAATGCTTTTTCTGCATCTAAGGACAATATATAGGATTTAAGATTTTTGCTGTAGGAATAATCTATTAAATTCAGCAGTCTGCGTGTGTTAGCAGCTGACTGCCTCCCTTTAATGAAACCAGTTTGATCTGGGTGGATTATGAGAGGAGTGACTTTATCTAACCGTTTTGCTAAAGCTTTACAGACTATTTTAATATCCACATTAATTAAGGATATGGGACGATAGCTGGTCGGAAACATAGGATCTTTGCCTGGCTTAAGCAGGAGACTAATGGTGGCAGAATTCATATTAACTGGAAATTTGCCATTATCTAGAGTTTCCTGCAGCATTCTGTGGAACGTTTTTTTTTATTATATTGAACTAATTCCAGTCTCCTTATTTGAAACACATCCATCAAACAA